TGTGGCCACAAAGCCTGCCAGCTGTTGAGGAGATAGGTGCAAGGCTTCTGGGTTCTGGGGCCCTGAACCTCTAGCTGCTGACAGGCAAAACTCGTGACATGGGTGCTTGTGCAACTATGTCCGTCTTGGGGCATGGGTGGTGGGGGACTATGGCAGGCCTGGCTGCTAGGCTACTGTGTTACCAATCAATCATGATTCACCCGGTGACCAGCTCAATACACAGTAGCCAGCTAATGTAATGAGTTAACGAGCAAGCATTAATGCCTGCAAAACCACAGACTAAAGAGAGGAAATAATCAATACAGACCATCAACTGCACCAAGACAGGCACAGTCAGTTGCACAAGCACCCATGTCACAAGTTTTGTCTGCCAGCAGCTAGGGGTGCAGGGCCCCAGACCCCCCCTGCACCCATCTCCTTGAGAGCTGGCAGGCTTCATGGCCTCAGCAGGGGCTAGCAGGTCTGCAGTTTTCACCTCACTGTGCCTTAACACACACAGGGTCATCTATGTCATGAGTTTTGCCTGTTAGCAGCCAGAGGTGCAGGGCCTCAGAGGCCAGACTCCCCCTGCACCTATCACCTTGAAACTTGGCAGGCTTTGTGGTCTCAGCAGGAGTGATCACCCTGCAGTTCTCACCCCACTGTGGCATAACATATACGCATGACATGAGCTTTGCTTTCAAGAATTTGGGGTGCAGTTTTCCCCAAACCCCACCACACCCATCTCCTTGAAACATGGCAGGCATCATGATCTCAGCAGAGGCTACCACTCCTGCAAGTTTCATCCAAATCAGACAAAAACCAACAAAGTTATAGATATTTCATCGATTCTCCATTATACCTTATGGCCGGATCACTGAAGTGGCTCCAAAGCTTTGGAGCTGATTCAGCTGAATCGAAGTGGGAAACTCATCCGGAGCTGTGAATTGGATCGCTGGCATCTGAAATCGGCTGGATCCGAAGCCGAATCGAATACCTGCCTATTAGCACAGGCCTACTAGACAGACAAACCTCTAATGGCAGTTCTTCTTGGCAGACGTTACTCTCTGCTTCTCTAGTTCTAGAGACTTGGTTTCCTTTCAGTTGTACTTTCTGGGTCCTCTCTTTAGGCTGAAAGACAAAAATCAGAGGTAAGGAGAAGCTCCCCAGCCAGTCTACTCAGGGAAGGGTGATCAGTAAAAGCAGCCTACTTGTTCCAGGCCCTCAAGAGTTTAGGGATCACTTGCTCTTTGGGTCTTCAAGGTGTCATAAGTAAGCAGGAGCTTGGACCTGCTTACTCTGCATTTGGCTTTGAACAGTCTACAGAGAAAGGATTAATCTCAAGCACCCCACTTCCCTTACAGAATTTCTCTTTGGGAAGTCATCCTCTTGCAGGTTTCCACCCTCAGATGACTGCTTCTTAAATCATCATTTTCCCACCAGGGCAGAGGACTCAGCTTCCCATTAATAACACTTGTCACTGTTCGGGAAGTTGAGGCACACATTCCACCCTTTTCCTAGAGGATGTAGGTTTTAGCAGAGCTAGGAGACATGGTTAAAACTTCTAAACTACTGGACCAAGCCATGGTTTCAATGTGCCATGGAAAAATTATACTGTAAGCAGATCCCTGGCCATAACTGCAGCACAGATGCTCCTGGAGGGTGTTCAATACTCTCAGGATCTATACCAAGACACCTGGACAAGGGCTGGGACCCCAATCTCCCACATACAAGGGTAATGTAAGACCTAATCTGAACACTGTATCAAATACTGACCCATAGATTTCTTCATATTATTTATTCATAGAGGTTTAACATCTAAGGGAACATTTCTTTCCTACCTCCCTTGCCCCCCATGCCTTCTCCCCTATCAGGGACTTATTTCTTTAGGATCACACATCATTGTAAGACAAGTACCCCAAATCTATCTGTTCTCCAAGAAAACCCCTACCCAATCAATACCTCACTTCAGCTTCCTAAGGTCTCTCTTGGAGCTCTTCCTCAAGACACGCTTCTGGAAAGTCCTGAATGGTATGGCACACTCACCAAGGGCCTGCATTTCACTATAACAAAACACAAAGATTCAAAGACATCAGAAATTTGTGAACAATTAAACCCATAGCCCACCTCACTGGGAAATAAAGGAGCATGTCTGAACTGAAAAGAATAATAGATCCCAAATCATTTCCACCCTGGAGCCCTCAAAGTACTATCCCCTCAACAGCAGATGCCTCATCCACACCAGCTCCACATCCCCATCACTTGCTCTTTTGTTGTTGTTTACTGTGACACCCCATCATCTTTTAGAGTGGACAGGTAAAAGCTTCCATATGCAACCAGCCCTCGCAGCCAGGCTCTCTCTCA